AAAAAACCCTTTCTTATTTGTTGTCAGATACTGTAAGATTATAAACGTCTTCTGCTTAGCACAGGAGGCTCTTTAATTCCTTCAGCAACTGACGTATTCCGTAAGGGTTCGAAAAATTGACAGAGGCTTGTTTTCACACATATTCTTCACATTTCCACACACCACTACTCAAACTTTGAAAAAAAAATCTCAATAAACAATGGAAAACCGCAGTGTTTATTGAAATCTGTAAAACACGAAATTTTTGGAGATTTCCACAATCAGATAGCTTTCCAGAGCATATGCCATCCAGAATACTGTATAGACCCATCAGTCATGAACCGCATTGTAAGATGATTGGCAGTTGTGTTCAGACTCGTCCCAGCTACGGCATGCCCGGACAGCCTGAATAAGGTAGCAGATATGGTTTCCTGAAATTTTTCTGCCTCTAATCTAGTATACTTTGCTATAAGTGGGGCGTCAATGCCGTTTCCGTCAAAAACTTCGAGATAGTCGTTGAATTCTTCCGTGGAGAAGACATCGAAGTTGACGTTGATCTAGATTGAAAGTTGATTATTGTTTCTTTCTGTAAAATTCTCTAACTTACTATAGTGTTATCGGATGTTGTAACGTAATACAACTGCTCCAGGAAAGGATCGTAAGCTGCAGGGTAATTTGTTGAAGCCATGGCTCCAGCTCTACCACTCTGACTAATTGGTGGAGTGCTTTGTCTGAAAAATGACGGAACAGTTGAAAATTGTGAATTAAGACCGAAGTTTTAGTAATTTTGTTGGTAGATTTGTCAAAGGGCATGTAACTTTAACTGACTTAGCATTCCAATGAGCCAACCATCCTTGATCAGTGATCATGGCGTCGGTGTGGAAATAGACCAGCATTTGATTTGTGGTGCTCTTAAAACTGGATTTCGTGGGCGCGGAAGTATCCAATCTAAAATAATTCGAGGTGGATGTATTGAATCCGCACAGATTAATTTAACTATATGAATTTGAGTTTAATTTAGAAAACTCGCAGGTCACACGGTCACAAAATGCGGCCTGCAGCAAGTTTGGTTCTTCAGCTGTAGTCTGCTTCCTTGAGTTGTTGCCTAGTGTGAACTACACTGAGTGCGAAATAAATGCAACATAACTTCTGTTTAGCAGGTTATTTATAAAAAATAATTAATCTGCTCCATGAGAACTCACTCGCCAATCACTTTCGAAGTTGTTGTCCCCTCAAAGATTTCCACGTAATCTAAATAACTTTCCACATAGAAAGGATTGAAGGTGATAGTGATGTAGGTATCAGGTGGTCCTGAAAGGATATCAGGTTTTAATTAGACAAGAATGCAGATCTAAGTAGATATTCGAAAGGGACATTTTTGTAAAATTTTGCTAACATCAAGCAAAATCAAATTAGCATAGAATCAATTATAATCAATTCAATTGACCAGCGCTATACCGACAACGATTATAATGATAAGGCTCGGTAACACGTCAAAAAACGCCCTTTCTCAAAATCATTTCTTTGTGAGTGTAGTGTCTGCATTATGTAACGTAGTTAACGTAGTCTAATGGATGCTTTCGCCATTTAATCAGAACAAGGATGGTAGTTGACAGTGAAACTGCGAGTTAACTAGGAGTTTCCTCGCAGTTGTCATGTGGAAAAAAACGGAAAATCCAGGAGCGGTAGTAATTTGCTCGAAACTCGCAGTTAACAATCATTGTCTACCCGCAGTTAACGCGTAGGTTCACCTTGAAATAACGACCAAACTATAAGGGTAGCTAAGAGGCGCTCGCAGAGAAGAGGCACGTCGTTGCAAAACCACTGAAAATTAGAGGGGATCGAACCCCG